GTATTATCTACAGTTGGTAAATAAAGAAACAGATCTTTCTATGTTATATGGAGTTATGGGAGGGGCCATCAGAGCAATTAGAAACAGAAATTAGAACCTTCAGCTTCTGACCAATAGGAGGATAGAGAGGGATAAGGCAGATGACCATTGCTTTAAATATAAGCTACTTCTTATTATTTTCTTAGTTATCAAAGGCATATCTCAGATAAAAATACAAAATTTATCTTAAAAAATAAAAAATAATTTGTTTTTATGAACAATGAACACTCTGGATTATTATACATACTTTAAATACTAAATTTGACTTTTAAGTATTAACTTAGGCCAGGTGTGGTGAGTCATGACTGTAACCTCGGCATTGTGGGACGCCAAGGAGGGAGGATCACTTGAGGCCAGTAGTTCAAGACCAGCCTGGGCGACATAGTTAGACACTGTCTCTGCAAAAAAATAAAAATAAAAAATTAGCTGGGTGTGGTGGCACATGCCTGTAGTCCCAGTTACTTGAGAAGCTGAGGTGGGAGAACTGCCTGAACTTAGGACGTGCAGGCTTTAGTGAGCCATGGTTGTACCACTGCACTCCAGCATGGGTGACAGAGTGAGACCCTGTCTGGAAAAAAAAAAAAAAAAAAAAAAAAAAAGTATTATGTTGTTACATCTGAAAGTCAGCCAGTCCTGTGTGTAAGTGCTGAGGAAAAATAATTAGATATGTGTGACATTGATTAGGAAACTAAAATATATCAAATGCTCCTCACTGTGTGACAGTGACAGCCACAGACCAATGTTTAAAATAAGTTATTTAATATGATTTTCCAACAACCTTGCAAATTACACAATATCTTATGATTAGATATACTCAATAAATAAATTGAAAAGTAACACAGAAACCCAGACATTAAAAAAAAAAAATCATTGTTTAGTATTAAATATATCTAGTTCTAAAACAGAATTTTTTCCCCAACTATACTAGAAATTATTGGTTGCAATCATAAACTTATCTTAAACTTTTTTTCTAATAGCTTAAAGAGTTCACTGGATACATTTTATTTGATTTCCATAACATCATGTCCATTTTGATTAAAAGTCTAATGATACTTAACTGATGGTAAAAATTATCTCTTACGGAAATTTTTAAATACTCAACACCTGTTCAATTTTCAGGAGTGAATGAATGTGTGTATTCACATCATAACATAGATAAATTAATTTTAATTAATATTAAAAAGACAGAAATATATTAGTTAACCAAAACATAACACCCAATGCAAGATGTGATGCATGTTTATCAGTACTTTGCTTCTCTTGGAACACTGCGTTGAAAATCACAACTTCCATATATTTATATTCCAACTTTTGTCAGAAACTTTACTAGATTCTCTATGTGTGTTGTGTTTACCAATTGAATCTTCACAATAACCTATTGAATTAATAACTACTAATCTAGTTTTAGAGATTTAAAAGTCAAGACTGAGTTTGCCTTAGGTCACAGGTGTCAGAAGACATCTATTTGAATCCAGGTCTGCCGTACGCTCTAAATTGTCTGTAGATATGAACTATTCAACGAACATTAAGTATACTTAATTGGGCCATAATTGATCCTATAAAATGTTTTTGGCTCAAAAGAATTTTTTTTAAAAAAATATTATGGCATATGGAATATTTCATGATGAAATTGACATTTCTATGACCTATTGGAAAGGAATATGATTATATTAGGTGGGCATATTCTTAGCGAATGTATGCTATACTCTAGTGTTCCTGACTTTTTCACCTGTCATTGAAAGCCATCTACTTAATCATTTATCCCTGTGATTAACATCTATCTTGTTAATCTATAGTTTTTTGTGTCCTTTGATATTTCTGCATCAGGACTTTTAGTTTTTTTGAATCTGGCTCCCAGAAATTTTTCAGAAATTTTCTGTAGTTTCCAAATGATCATTGACAGTAAAATTTGAAAAGTTCTTTTCTATGTTTAGTATGTTTTTTCTAGCTAAATTAGATTTTTCAAATTCTAAATTATATAATACTAATTTCTACGGTTCTACATTCTAATATGATACAACAACCCTTTCTCTTAAATTTCCTATAAACTTCCATGCCATCAATCACTTTTTCTCTCTTTGGAACAATTAATTCCAAAGCAGTTATTTCTCTATTTATTCCTTTTATCTTCTGATAGATGAACCATAAATGCAAGTCAAAAATTAACCAGCTGTTCTGGTAATGATGGACCAATCAGAAGATGTCTACCATTTCTTTGTTTCTTATAACAATATTTTGGAGTAAAAAATGTTAATTATCCTTATTTCATAGATGAGACAAAATAAACCCAGAGAGGGGTAAGTCAGAAATTGTGCACATGTAATTCTTATAAGTGAATACATTCTTCAACTAGGAAAAATTACCATGTATATTAGATATCAAAAATTGTTGGTTATTTTCACTGAAATTAATAGTAAGAAATGCAATTTATATCATAGCCCAATTCAAACAAACACTTGAATGCATGCAGGTATATATATATATATATATATATACACACACAGATGTATATTTATTGCATTTTATTTATTTATTTATATATAACAGGGAAATTTTCCAAAAGTAATATGTACTCTCGGCCGGGTGCAGTGGTTCACTCCTGTAATCCCAGCACTTTGGGAGGTTGAGGTGAACGGATTTCTTGAGGCCAGGAGTTTGAGACCAGCTTGAGCAACATGGCAAAAAACCATCTCTACTAAAAATACAAAAATTATCTGGGTGTGGTGGTGCACACCTGTAATCCCAGCCATTAGAGAGTCTGAGGCAGGACAATTGCTTGAACACAGGAGGTGGAGTTGCAGTGAGCCCAGATCACGCCACTGCGCTCCAGCCTGGGCAGCAGCAGAGCCAGACTCCATCTCAAAAACAAACAAACAAAAATATTCTCTCTATGTTCCTAAAAGCATACTTTTTTCTGGGACTGTAACCTAGTTTAACAATTGTGGAAGACAGTGTGGAGATTCCTTAAGGATCTAGAACCAGAAATACCATTTGACCCAGCCATCCCATTACTGGGTATATACCCAAAGGATTATAAATCATGCTGCTGTAAAGATACATGCACACGTATGTTTATTGCAGCACTATTCACAATAGCAAAGACTTGGAACCAACCCAAATGTCCATCAATGACAGACTGGATTAAGAAAATGTGGCACATATACACCATGGAATACTATGCAGCCATAAAAAAGGATGAGTTTGTGTCCTTTGTAGGGACATGGATGCAGCTGGAAACCATCATTCTGAGCAAAGTATCGCAAGAACAGAAAACCAAACACCGCATGTTCTCACTCATAGGTGGGAATTGAACAATGAGATCATGTGGACACAGGAAGGGGAACATTACACACTGGGGCCTGTTGTGGGGTAGGGGGAGGGGGGAGGGATAGCATTAGGAGATATACCTAATGTAAATGATGAGTTAATGGGTGCAGCACACCAACATGGCACATGTATACATATGTAACAAACCTGCACGTTGTGCATATGCACCCTAGAACTTAAAGTATAATAAAAAAGTATACTTTTTTCTACTATTTTTATTAACTTTTAATTTAATTTTATTCGATTCATTTATATGTTTACTATATGCTAGTCACAACCCAATGAATTGATTTTATGATTCACTGTTGGTGACCCATAGTTTGGGAAATCTGTCCTAGATGATATCATTTTTGTGTTAATTTTCATACAATGCATTAGAATCATTTAATGGACTAGGGAGTCTCTAGCAACCCTAAGCAGTGATATCACTGTTTCTCTGTTTTTCCTTTCTCACTGTATCTCCATTCTTATATAGAGTTATATACAAGTATATGATTTTTAAATATGCAGTATTCTAGCTCCTTCTAGGCAACCTAATTTCTAGAAGAAATACACATTCTTCCTTATCCTTATTATAGACAAAGATTTATCACTAGCTTTTAATAATATTTAAATTATTAAATTTATCTACTTGAGTTGAAATGTCAGTTTTAGCGTGTTTGTTCCTCATGTACTCAGCCAATATTTTCTGAGCACCTAACATTTTCAGGTACAAATCCTGAGGGCACAAAAATTAGCATAACAGGCCATAACCCAGTTCTCAGAAGGTTTGCCTATTATTATACGAATATTGCTTTAGAGACACCTGGGAATATAGGCAGTTTTCCAAAATCAGTTCTTTATTGAATTCAACTTAAAAATAATTGATAGGCCGGGAGCGGTGGCTCAAGCCTGTAATTCCAGCACTTTGGGAGGCCGAGACGGGCGAATCACGAGGTCAGGAGATCGAGACCATCCTGGCTAACACAGTGAAACCCCGTCTCTACTAAAAACAAACAAACAAACAAACAAACAAACAAACAAAAAACTAGCAGGGCGAGGTGGCGGGCGACTGTGGTCCCAGCTACTTGGGAGGCTGAGGCAGGAGAATGGCGTAAACCCGGGAGGCGGAGCTTGCAGTGAGCTGAGATCCAGCCACTGCACTCCAGCCTCGGTGACAGAGCGAGACTCCGTCTCAACAACAACAACAACAACAAAATAATAATAATAATAATAGATAAAATCTCTGCATTGCCAATACCACACTTGTAGATTGTATGTTGAATAGCTGATGTTTTGAAACACAGAAATGACTTTTTTTTTTTTTTGAGACACAGTCTCGCATAGTCACCCGGGCTGGAGTGCAGTGGTATGATCTTGGCTCACTGCAACCTCCGCCTCCCGGGTTCAAGTGATTCTCCTGCCTCAGCCCCCCGAGTAGCTGGGACTATAGGTGTGTGCCACCACGGCCAGCTAATTTTTGTATTTTTGGTAGAGAGGGGTTTCACAATGTTGACCAGGATGGTCTCGATCTCTTGACCTCTTGATCCACCCGCCTCGGCCTCCCAAAGTGCTGGGATTACAGGCATGAACCACCAGTGCCCAGCCGATTTTTCCTAATAATGAAAATTCAGCCACAAAAATATGTTTCTTACCATGACAACTTGGCAAGACTCTATTCCATCCAGGTCTTCCATCATCTCCCATGATACAGGTGAGTGTTGAATAACCTTGAAGAACATAACCAGCATCACAGTAGTAGGTGACTGTTGACCCTAATTTATAATCCATTCCAAGTCTGGTGCCATTCATTATATTGCCTGGATCAAAGCAGGACTCTCGGAGTTTTGCTGTAAAACAATGTTAATATAACATTAATTGCTTTAAAATACAGTTAGCACTCTGTAATACATGGATTCTGCATCTGTGGATTCAGCTAACTGCAGATGGAAAATATTTGGAAAAAACTGTACTGCACTGAGTATGTACAGACATTTTTTGTCATTACTCCCTAAATAACACAGTATAACAACTGTTTACCTAGTATTTACATCATATCCTGTATTATTGGTAATCTAGAGATGATTTAATGCATATGGGAGGATATATATAAGTTATATGTTCACATCTGTGAATGTTAGTATCTGAGACGTTCTGGTACCAGTTACCCAGGGATACCAAGGGACAACTGACTGTTTTTTATGGACCTTTAAGACATATTCATTTCTTTTTCTAACCAAGAAGGAAAAAGCAGCAGCACCATTTCTGTCTTTGTTTGGGGGCTCAAAGTACAAAGGAGCCCTTATCCATATCTGACAAATTGCTAATGCATATTTATTAGTAAGATAAATAAATTATAAAGATCGTCATAGATCTTCCCATTAAACTTAGTATCTAATGTATATAGTCAAACATAGGGTTTCAGAATTTATTATAAACATTATGTGTGTTATAATCCATGTGTAGGCACCATAAATGAATTACTTTGGGGAAAAAGTAGGACCCCTTACAAAAGGTCTTTATTTAAAAGATCTCCCCACAAGTAATGCCCATCCCATGTTACTGAACCTAGAAGTAGTTTTTCTGCCTATGTTGAGCTCAGTTCATTTCACCACCTACAGCAAAATAAAAGGCCCTATTTCTCTGCCCTGCAACAATTTTTCTTACCCTATTTTCTCCAGTCATTCTCCACATTTTTATCAGAGGTCTCCCATTATAAAATAGCAAAACCCAAACCACAATATTTTTGGACAGATTATCTATCCCTATGCAAAACACTTTCAAAGCTAGAAGTAACAGACAAATTGAAAAATAAAATCCTTTCACAACAGAGGAATTGTTTTCATTGTACCCAGATAGTGAACAAAGAGACTGACAGAATATTTTTAAAATATGTAGAGAAATAGAATTAGCTCATTCATTTTATGGCAAAAGTACTATCACACTTTGTTGTTAACAGATCTGGATGAGGCCTTGAGATTATTTCCATTTTGTAATTATTGATTACTTAAAAAATAATAAAGAAATGTACAATGTAAAGGCCATCACAATAAATCAGGATAACAAATGTAGTGATTTTCTACATTAGAATATTTTTTGTGTTAATAAGAAATCAGAAAGTGGGTATGTCCCTGAATATGAGTCATGGAATCTTTGGAATTTAAGTCAATGATATCTTGGTGTTTGGCTACTACAAACATTTTTATATCAAAATATAATTAATTACACCAGTAAGAATATGTTTCTTTCATTCATAAAAGTTTGCAAAGAGTTTATTGTACTTTAACATATATAAGAAATAATGAGAAATCTATGCTTTAAGAAGAACACTATATATAATTTCTCCCAATTCAACTAAAGAGGAAATGGTGGAACCAAACATTTAAATAATTTTAATAGAATATCAGAGAAATGAAAAGGGTTCTTTCCCTCTCTCTCTTTCTTTCTTTCTTTTTCTTTCTTTCTTTCTATCTTTTCTTTTCTTTTCTTTTCTTTTTTCTTTTCTTTCTTTCACTACTTAAGGGCTCACTACCCTACTAACTCTAGAAATGTACCAGTGGACAATCAGAAAATGTTCTGGCGCTCATGGAAATTACAGTCTGTTAAAGAAAGGAATTACATTAAATAAAGACTTGCAATTCTGGAATGCTGTGTAAAGGGAAGCATTCAGGAACCTCACTGAAAAAGTGGTATCTAAAGTGAGCATTGAGAGAATAAGGAACAGATTAGGTGAAAAGGCGATGAAAATTTTGTAGGGGAGGAGGTGTGCTGACATGTGCAAGTAGATAAATGTGATTCCTGAGTTTCAAACCAAAGCTAAATGACTTGATGTTCTCCCAAGCACACACATACACATACACACACTGATACACATACACAAAATTTGCACTCCATACATTATACTCAGCTGCTCTATAAAAATTTTGTCCCAAACCATGGAATATATTTCTTTTCATATAAAATACACAACTCTATTTATGCAAGAACCAGCAGGGTGACTACTTAATTTGGTCACTAAGAATGGGGCTTTAGTGATGCAGGGATTGATTTGTTTATTTATAAAAATAAAACCTTACATTATACCTTCCCTTAAACAAGCAGGAAAACGCAATATAATTTTTAGACAGAACAGAAACCTGTCATTTACAGCTGGACTTCGTGAAATTGAACTAAGTCCCTGGAGGGTAAACGAAGGATTTAAATTTCTGTTTAAAAGAATTAATCTCGTTGACAAGTCTATTCTCCTAATATTCATCTTTTGAAAAATTTGCTTTCTCCTTCCTTGAAGTTTTCCCCAATGTTTCAGTAAACTGTCAGTGAAACTGTAATGCAAGCATCCTGTTTTTTGAGGAAAGGGAAACATGTTTGACAAATTTAAAAATATTGACTCTGCAACAATTTTACAATGCTAGTCTCAATTTGAGAGAATGCACTTATCTCGTTATAATGTTTATATACTGTTTTAAATCCTTGGTGACTAGCTTTCTATGAATAATACTGCCTTTGTTTATATCCATGTATGTCGTAGCAATTACACCTGGAAATTTCAAAAACACCTGGAGAATACTTATATAAATGTCTAGGCAGTAGCTGGAAAACTGATTTTAGTTTCCGAATAAAAATTATGAAGCAGACAAGTTATTAGCATTATTTTTATGTATAATTAATTTTATCTGCTTAATAGTGATTTGCCTATTGAACAGATACTAGGTAAAAGAGTATTTTGCCTCCTTATAGTCTCCAAATAAAATATGTCAGAAGATATATTTTAGATCTGCTGCATCTCAAATATTTTAGTTTTATTTTAAAATTATTTCTGCTAAATATAAATAGATGTATGTATGTATGTGTATATATATATACAAGTTTTATTAGAGCTAGAAGTGAACATATACAATGAAGCTTACATCTTAATTTTTAATTAAAGGCAATAACAAATGCTGGTGAGAATGGGGAGAAAAGGCAAACCTCGTACACTGTTGAGGGGGATGTAAATTAGCACAGCCACTATGGTGAACAGTATCAACAGTATAGAGGGTTCTCAAAAAACTAAAAATAGAACTACCCTATGATCTAGCAATCCCACTGCTAGTATATATCCAAAAGACAGAAATCAGTATATCGAAGAGATATCTGCACTCTCATGTTTATTGTAGTACTGCTCAGAATAGTTAAGATTTGGAAGCAACCTGAAGTGTCCATCAACAGACAAATATATATAAAAAAGTGGCATATATATACAATGAAGTAGTATTCCGCCATAAAAAAGAATGAAATATCTGTAACAACATGGATGGAACTGGAGGACGAAGTGAAATAAGTCAGGCACAGAAAGACAAATTTTGCATTTTCTTACTTATTTGTGGGAGCCAAAAATTAAAAACAATTGAACTCATGGAGTTAGAGACTAAAAGGATAGTTACCAGAGGCTGGGAAGCGTAGTGGAGGTGTTGGGGGAAAAATGGGGATAGTTAATGTACAAAAAATAATTTAAAAGAATGAATAAGATCTAGTATTTGATAGTACAACAGTGTGACTATAGTCAATAATAATTTAATTGTACGTTTAAAAATAACTAAAAGAGTAGAGTTTGTTTCTAATACAAAGGATAAATGCTTGAGATTATGAATACCTCATTTATCCTGATGTTAGTCATTACACGTTGCATACCTGTATCAAAATATCTCATATACTCCCTAAATGTATACACCTACTGTATACCCACAAAAATTAAAAATAAAAAAGGAAAACTTTTCATGTTTTTACTCATTTGTAGTAGATAAAAAATTGAAATAATTGAACTTGTAGAGACAGAGAGTAGAATGACCGTTACCGGAGGCTGGGAAAGGTAAGGGGTGGGAAGTGGGGATAGTTAATGGTATGAAAACAAAGTTAGATAGAATGAATAAGGATCTAGTCTTTGATAGCACAACAGGGTGACTACAGTCAACAATAATTTATTGTATATTTAAAAATAACTAAAAGAATATAATTGGAATGTTTGTTACATAAATAAATGATAAATGCTTGAGGTGATGGATACCTCATTTACCTTGACAATGGTTATGACACATTGTGCACCTGTATCAAAATATCATGTGTACTCCATAAATATATACATACCTACTATAAACCTGTAAAAATTAAAAATTTTAAAATGGAAAAAGACCACTGATTACTTTCTAAGTGCTATAGAAACCAACATGCTTAAGTCAAGATATGCGATATATGTTACAAAAGATAAAGAAAAATATCTTTACTATCTGGGGCCTCAAGGTATATGTCCATTTATTTGGGTGTGCATATTTTTATGTTGAAAATAATGAGATGTTCATTTTTCAGTCATTATAAACATCAGCACCACTTTGTCAGCCTTAAGAAACTGGACAATTAGACAGGAAACATTTATTAAAATAAGAATAGGAAATAAGGAAGCTGATAAGACAGAACTTGGAGACCCTGAAGTGGGCAATGAGATTTTCCCATAAACAGGGCAGGGGGTTTGGGTTTGAGGACCAGGTTAGAGAATTAATGAGATTGGATCTCGGGAACATTATTATAAGGAAATATTATCTGGTGTATACAAATAACACTTGGTGGAATTGTGTCTAAATGGGTACTGGTATAGTAGGTGAAGACAGTGTGTGGGGAAGAAGGATGTAGTTAATGGGATAATTATATATTTCTCTCTACCTATGCTTATATTTTTCTTTGCCTTTATTCTTAAAGGTAACAATAATTTATGTAGTCTTGTGCAAATCATTTTAACAATTAGATTTTCAATTGTATCCTTCGTAAAATGGGGATAACAATACTTATAAGGTTGTTCTGTAATGTTTTTATTGCATTT